GAGAAAACATTTAGAAGAGATTACTTCAAGCTATATTTTAAAAGCTCAAAGGAGAATCTTAGATTAATCTTAATAGCATATGTTTTGGCTGTTGATCCCAACAGATTCTCCGTGTTACACCATGTGCATTTGACTTCACTGGGATCTACTGAAAAGCATGCAGAAATGAGCACAGTTGAGCATCTCACAGTGCTCCAGGTATCGTGGGGTTTTTCCTTTAACTGAAGTCATTTGTATAGGTGCTACACACTTCTGTACATTGTTCTGTCATACGTTAAATGTCTTAATTTCTTTTCTGTGACTTTCCATTATCCCTTATAATTGAACCACTGGTTCTATGGTAATGAGTCCTTTTGAACTGTCAGTGTGTGTATTTCCATTTGCACTGCTGGCACGTTGTTCTGAACCTTCTCCCCTTCTGTCCAAGTAAATTACTTACACTATCAGATCTGTCTCATTGTTCACTGTATCACTGCAGTGGATTTTCCAGATACTCCTTGCTTACTGAGGTTTATCATTATTGCCCATTTTGCAAAGGGATCTTTCAAACTTTGATAGCTGTAACATTAATCCTAATTAATTGTTGTGAGTCAGAATCAAAAGGAGGGAGGAAAAAAATGTGTTTAATTGCACAAGCTACACTGTGGAGGGTCTAGCTAACCTATTGGCTTTTCATTATACAGTAATTTATATTCAAATTAATTTTAACAGCCAGCGTTTTGTCTGTATTAGCTGTGATCATTTAAACTTCTGTAGCAATTTATGTGGTAGCTGATGTTTAGGTTTTAATCTTGTATAGTGATGAGAGATGTGGCTGATAACCAGGAGTCCGAGAGTGTTGCCAAAGATAAGTAGGTGAGTTTTCATGTTTTAGATAGTACTGAATGATAGTGAGAGGTTTCCAGAGATGTGCAGGGAACGGCCAGGAGGCAGTGGTCACTGATGCAACATTTTGATTAGACTTAAGGGAAAAATACTCCAGTGTAAGATCAGTCAAAAATGTAATGGGTTGCAGAAACCCCTACAACTGGGGGGGAAAAACTAATGTTGCTATACAGAGTGAATGGAGGGTAACTAATGCTGTCTGTGACTGATTCCTGGTTTACAATCAATGATAAAACATTCACAATAAAGATGGATTTTTTTTTTTTTTCTGAGCTGTTTTGCTTACCTGTCTTCAGCCCTAGGCCAAGCCAGAGTTCCTGGCAAGTTCCTGGGTAAGCACACAATGTTATTTAACCAGTTTTCTGAATCAAGGCTTTATGAGCAATGTGAGTCCTCATCTTTGCTAATTTGAGGAAAGCTTATTCTCCAACCACACAGATAAATAAGAAGGATTGGGGTTTGGTTCTCATAATTATGGAAGCCTTGGAGCCAGCATAGTAGTTCAGTGAGACAGGGAATTCCCAATCATGTAAATTTGCTTACAGAAAAATGATTGCTGATGTCAGTTGGTATCATTCCCTGGAGGAAACAATAATCTGTGTTCTGCTGAAGTCGAGCATGTTAGTAATCAGAGGGAACTTGTAAAAGCTTTTCTACCTGGAGACCTGTTATAATGTCATCCATTTCTATAAATCTTGCTGATGCTCTGTTTTGTGTAACCTGGTCTTGCATCGTAATGGAAGGTATCATGGAAGCACAGGAAATCTTTAAAGCCTGAGGGATGTGTGTTTGAAGCCAATGGATGTGTTTGTGTGAGATTGGGTCAGGCCCCACACGGCAGTGCTGAAGTACTCAAACGTCCTGTGCCTACTGATCATTTTCCATTGCTGTGCTGTCAGTGACAAAGTATGCAGGGAAAAGGCAGGATCACTTGGGGAGTGATATTGCTAAAGCTGCTTTGTTAAAATTTCTGGGTTATTTTCTTGCTGACTTTCATGGATCTCCTTGTTCTGTGCAGTCTGTCACTGGCTGTTGAGTCAGTGTGAGTGAAATTTGGTTAGCATACAATAATGCACTGTTTTCCTGTTTTCAAGTGGAAATGAAAGGGAACGCACGTAGCAATGAACTGGAAACTTCAGTAGTCTGTGACCAGATCACTGTTTGCTTACTTTCGTAGCTATGCTATTACCTTCCTCTCCCAGATACAGCTCTTAATCAGTGAATATTAAAGCCACATAGACATTGAAAGAATAAGAAGTTCATAATCAAGTGAAAAAGGAAGAGTTGGTAGCAAAGAAAATGGAATAATTTATTCCTTCTGTAAGTAGTTAATTGAAGAGGTGGGGGAAAAAAAGCTCTTACGCAATATAACTTGTATCTGTTTACGTAAAATAATACTTTTTTAAAGCACTTTCAGTAGGCTCAAAAGCTGTTTTCCTGGTAACATGACATCAGAGCAACAGCCCAAACTGGTGATTATATTAAGTGAATATAATGGGACAAAAGAGTAAGTCTTTAGTTTGATCTTTTCCATTGATAAATTTAGAACTTGTAAAAGCTGAAGTAATAGTTGTAGTGATAAAAAGGAATATAATTTTATACTTAACCACCAGTCCAAAAAAAAACCAGTGTATAATTATTGTGGGAGGAAGAAAAATACGTATCTCCTCCTCACTGCTCCTTTTTCTTCTCTTTAGCACTGAATTAATCTGTTTTAATTAAATCACCAACCTGTTTCTGCACAAAAGATGACATTTCATTAATGACATAAGATGTGCATGAGACAGAATTAACCCAGTTTTCAAATAGATTTCAGTTTGGAAAGGGCAACATGTAAAAACTTCTTGCAAATGTGTGGGATGAACTTGTTGAGCTCGTTAGCAGCTTTCTGAAGGAGATGGGATTGTAGTGCGATGAATAATAAGACAACAATTCTTTACCTCCACTTCAGCTTCTGTCTGTTATAATCCCAGGTGATGGATGCGCAAGCTTCTGACATTGTATATCAAGAATATATCGTAAATAGAATGAAAACACACAGATTTGTGGTGATTGCTAGAAAAGTGCGTGCACACACACAGTTGTCTGCAATTTTAAGCTAAATATGATCCTTTAGTGGCTTTTTGAAGTTACTGCTGTCATAATCTGTTTCCGTTTTGAAAAGAAACAAATAGAAAGGAAAAGAATAGCTACAAAAAGTACTCTGATCTCCTAAGCATGGTTTTATCACCACCTTTAGCAGCACTTTTTCCATATGCTTATTGTGCTGCTTAGCAGCAGTATCATATCAGGTCCTTGCTGCATGTGGGACTTTGCTCTTCAACTTATGATTCTATCAGTAGTGTTGATAAGCCAGAGCCCAGAGTCCCCCTTTGCTTGCCATTGCTTTCGGGCTAGGACTGTGGTCTTGCCATCAAGCAAGAGAATTGACTCAGCACAGAATGTTCTCCACTCTGTAAAAGACTAAGATTTGATGGTGCTGTTCGTGTGGTGTCAAGAGCCTTAGCTGAGAATGTGTGAGAAGTGAGGGCATCGTGTAGGAGTGTGTGGTGTAGAAGTTGAATGTTCTGTTTGCACTTAATAAAGCAGCCTAACGCTGCTCCTGTTTTCACATAGGTGTGCTTTCCATTTCCTGGTGACAAATGGGAACACAGTGCAGGTGGCAGTATTTACAGGTGATTGGGAAGGCTTGAAGAGGGCTGGTGTGATCATAGGCACTATCATGGTGCTGCCTCACATTTCAAAAGCCAGTTTTGCTACTAAGAAATTTGCCCATAGGTCTTGAGTTGGAGAGGGTGGTTGGAGGCCATCCCTTGACTTAAATGTACTGAAGGTGTGTGTTGGGGTTGGCGCTGAATTCACAACAGGCTGTGGCTATATGGTAAGGTCCTGGATGGATTTGAACAGGTTTGAAAAACTGTTCACTGTTAATGATTTTTCTTATCTGCAAGGAGAACAGATCATCCGTCTCATCCTTCAGACTTGAATTCATGAAGTTTATTTGTATTTCTTAGATCTCCATGCTATATTGCCAAGTCTGCTTACTCTGAATTTAGAAATGCTGTTCCAATTTTACTATCACAATTAATGGGAAAAATGGGTATCACAAATCTGCTCTCTGGGAAGGTGATATAAATGTTTTGCTTCTCTTTTGAACGGAGGAGGACAGGTGCACTGAAGGCACTAAGCCTTGTGTTGGGAAACAGCTTTTCAGGGGTCAAACTGGGAAGTTCAGAGCAAGTGAGTATATTAAAGTGTTCCTGTATTCCTTGTTGATGGGAAAAACAATTGTGTAGCAATTTCTTGTTGTGTTAAAATTGCTTTTTTTTTTTTTTTTTTTGCTGCTTCTGTTTGAGCAAAAGCTCAAGCTGCAAGATTTGTGGTGGTGCTGGCATTTGTAATGAAATAATGGTCAGAGGTTGCCACTAGCTCAGCCATTTGCATTCACATTAATAGAGGTTCTTGACCCAAAAGAGCAGGCAGTGTGTAGCAGCAAGATTTGCCAGCATAAATACCCTGCCCTATGCATGGCCCATCAATCCTGACTACTTGCTCAGGAAGGGGGGGAAGTACTGTTCAGCAGTAAGTGCAGAAACAGAGTAAAATGTATCTTAGAAATTAAGGTCAATATGAAAGGGGCCTTCAAATGGATTTATGCAAAGTTCGTGTAAGGTGAAGTGTGTGCTTTTTAGATGGAGTATGGAGGAATAGAAACAGATAGCAGGAGTGCTGAACAAATTTAATTAAGCCTTGGAATGAGGCATTCTCGGGAGAAATTCAGAGTTTCCTCCATGTCTGCCTGTTTGCCTGAGGAAATGCGGCATTGAGAGCAGGAACAGAGCTATAAGCTGAGGTCACAGTTCACCCTGCAAAGGGCCGTGATGGAAAGCTTCACTGGATTATTATCACTGAATTTGGCTTATTTTGAAACATAAAGGATGATTCGAGCCTTTCTTCCATAGTTTTTTTTTTTTTTTTTTTCCCCCTGTTTTGCTAAGGATCTTGTTCACCATGACATGTTCTTATAGGCTAGTAGAACATCTGCTGACTTCTGCATGGACAAAAGGGTTGCACATTCCTGCAGTGTTCTTAATGGACCTTTTCTCTCCTTACAGGAAAAGGAATGAAGAAAATGAGCAACATTTATGAATCAGCAGCTAATACCCTGGGAATCTTTAACAGCCCATGCCTGACAAAAGTGGAGCTGCGGGTTGCATGCAAAGGCATATCAGACAGGGATGCCCTCTCAAAACCAGACCCTTGTGTCATCCTTAAAATGCAGTCACATGGTCAGTGGTTTGAGGTGAGTGTTTAATACAATTTAACAAATGAAAAGATTTTTCTGATGCTTTAGGATGACTTAATGAAATCAAGACAAAATTCAACTATCAACAGTAATAGAGAGAAGCAGCATCTGGAACCCAGTGGCAAAAATCTGTAATATAGAAGGGAGATTTTCCATTAACTCTAACACTCTTTGAATCAGATTCTTAATGATACTTTGAACTTCTCTTTGGAGTCTCTATTAAAAATGAAGATGATTAAAGAATGAAGTGTCATAAAACCTTTCCCTCTAGGCACTCTTGTTTCATAGAAGCTATATAATAGCAGAAATACTGGTAGTGACCATTATAAAATGCTTTCCAATCTTAAGAAGTCAAGTGCTGTGGAAGAGAGGAGTATTTATTATTAGTTGGCAAGAATTTCAGTGACAGTAGTTTGGCAGTAGATTGGCAAATTTTGAGCATTGAGGTTGGGTCTACAGTTGAAGGTTAGTTGTATGAACTAATTAATCTGCTTTCACTGTATTGCAGATTGCACATTTGATTAAAATCCTACTTCATGTAATTTTTTCTAATCTTAAAAGCTGTTTGAATAATAAATAGAAACTGTACTAGAAACATGCTTATTGTTAATGAAGAACATTAAACTGAATGTTAGATGTTAAGTGAAGTTTTAGTGGTTATTTTACTTAAAAGTTAAACTTGAGTGTCTGAGGTTAATAGCAAAAAAGGCACAGTTGTTATGGAGAGTATGCATGAGAATATCCAGTTCTTTTATTTTTATATTCATCCCTCAGTCTTCAGCAGTTTCAGCACTTTAAGATTGCTGTGAGTATATTCAGAAGGGGAAATCCCAAATTTGTGTTTCTTTTTTTAAATCTAGTGTTGTGTTGTTTTTTTTTTAAATCTAAATCTTTTGAGCCAACTCTGTCAGACTTTAGCAATCTTATTCTGGTTATTCCAACAGTATGGTTTTGCTCTATGAATGTCTAAAATCTTTCCATTGCAAGGTCGGCAGCCAGGAGAGGAGATTTCTTTGTTGTTTTTTTTAATTGTAGTTTTGCTCTTTTGTTAGCTTGTTGTGGATGCATTAGGTAAGGTTATGGTAGGAAATCACTCTGCAAGTAAAAAATAATTATCCTTGTGCTTCAAAATCAGTATCTTTGTGTAGTTGAAATGTAAGGTAATACACTAGCGAAGAAAAAAAGGCATTGTAGCTAACCAGGAAGAAGGAGCATTTAGCTATGCTGTATGTAATTGTTGAAGAAGTTGACTATATTTGGATTAAAGGTCAAAATAAATTAAAGGCACGTGCTTAAAAACGACAGATCCAGTCCTTTGTGGCCATTTCAATTCTCTGAATCACTTCAAATACACTTCACACAGTTTTCTGTGGCCAGTTATACGCAGAGTAAGTGGACTTAAATTATGTATTCTTATGTTGTAATTGAAATCCCTTTTATTTGATGCAGTTTTTAATTTGAAAAGTGATTGTCTGAATAGAGAAATTCAGTGAGCAGATCTGCTTGCTGATATGACTCTCATCTTACGGCAGTTGCTCCTACTGTCTAATGAAAGTCCAGGATATTCATTTTGGTATGAACAAAAAGTTTTTATTAGTTCATGTTCCTATCAGCGCTGCAGAGCTGATACAGCTCTGACGTGACCAGAATTTTCTATTCTGGTCCTCGTATTCTCAACAACATTTTTAATTAAGCTCCAATTGCTGAGCTAAATTGAGCAGAGTCATTCAGGTATAGCTGAAGACATAATTTGGCTGGAAAAATCTCCTGATGATGACAGTCAGTGATCCAGCAAGATCTTGGGCTGTAGACAGGCTAGTAAAAAAAAAAAAAAAATCTAATTGCTATTAAAATGGATCTATTCAGCATAGGAATTACTGAATGACAATATGAAGAGGATTGGAATTTAAGATTTTTCTATCTGTCCATTTCGAGACTTCATGAAGAAATGTGTGTGTATATATGGCTAGAGATTTGAATTTATTAAAACATGGTTTTCTGTCTTCTCTATAGCTGTGAAACCATTAGGAACACATGCAGGGCACAAGCACTCAAGGCAGTCCCTGTGTTGTCCTCAGTTGTGGCACGGATGTGCTTGCTGTGTTTTTCTTCCTGTCTGGTAGATACTTCCCTACAAATTAACATGCACACCATGCATATCTCTGTGTTTGCATATTCATATTGCCTGGAAAGCACCGTCTCTCCCAATGAAGGATTGAAATGATATATCGCATCTTGCTGAAAAATTGTCAATCTGCTCTTTCCCTAGCATAAATTTTGCATTTTTAGACTGAGTTGATATGTCAGAATTCAAGATTACAGTATCCATATGTACTAAAAGACAATTTGGTGATCCAGGGCTGAATTTTGGCTCTCCTGGTACTCACTTCTAAGCAGGTACAGTTCCAGAATGACCAAATCCTACTGTTTTTTTTTAAAGTGCTTGTTTAGGAGAGTCATTTGATGGCTGTTTTCCAGTACTAATTTGAATTTAATTACTGAACAAAGCTTCAGGATGGTGAATAATGGGATGGGGTACTGGAATCAGGCAAAAGTGTCTGATGATAAACTCTTCTCAAATCATTATAGTACCCCCCTGCAGTGTGAATGTGTTTTAAGTAATAAGTGTTAATTGCATATAGCACTGCAGTCTTCATCCCAGATGTGCTAGCACTGAAATTCTCATTAAATTGTTATTCCTGAGAAAGTAACTTGGCCTGGTTCATGGGTTATCATCTTAATCTGGCAAGCCCTGAAAGTCAAGGCACTGCTGAGCTGTGTCTGGTCATATGGGGTTTACATGAGATCAGGAGGTATAATGCAACCTGATGTACCTGGGTGGAAAGTGTCATCTGTGACTATGAAAAGAGAAGAGCAGCTCCGGACAGCAGCCAGTCTGGAAATCGGGTAGGGCTTCCTGCAGCAGAGTTCTTAGAGCGTTCAGCAGCGGGACATGGGAGATCTGCTGCCTTGTGTATTTGAACAGCTGGCAGGCATTCTTGCTTTTTTTTTACTCTAAGTTTTTTTTTATAACACTGGAAGTACAGAGGAATTAAATCAGCACTGAAGATGGCATGCAGTTGCTGAAAATCACATTGGTAGAATGGGGCTGCCATTTTTGGACAGATAGGTTTGTTTACTAAAATGGGTTTACTTTTTTTCCATGTAAATGTTGATTGAAGTCACATTCAATGGATTCAGTGAGGTTTTGATGAAAACACAGGGGAAAACCAGAACTTACGATTTTGGTGTTTCTAAAATTTGATTAGAAGGATCAGCTTTATTTTTTTTTATTTTGTACAATTTTTATTTTTCTCCAAAAGAGTTTCTTTCCTTTGACTGCTAATCCAGAACACTTATATGGACCTATGTATAAAAAGGCTGCAGAGACCAGTTAGCTTGGAAATGCATTGAACATGTGGAATACCAGTGGAGCCATCTGAGTATCTACATAGGACTCTAGCTACAGGAAAGACTCTCTCACTCCTCATTTTTCTTTGCTTTTCCCCCTCAGTTTTCCTTAATTCCAGAATCCTTCTTTCTCCTCTGCTTCCTCAAGTTCCAATCTCCATTCCAAGTAGATACTACCTCCTCTTGCTGCTCTGTGCATGGGGAAGGGAGCTTACAAGAGGACCTGGAGGCAGACTTCTGTTACTCATTGCCATAGATACGCTTCTGTTACCTGTCTGTGGCTGTCACAGCCCACTGCAAAAGCCAACGAGCCATGAAATAGAGGAGTCTGTGGGTTGACATGTTCCATGACTCTACTGAAATGTTCCAAAATAACTAAAAAACCACTGTGAAGGCCATACATATATAAACCCTTTCCATTTATTTGGTGTTTTATATACATCTTTTTTTTTTCTGTTCATCTGTATGAACAGAGTAATAGATGAAGTGTTTGGATGGAATTGGAAGCTTCTTCATCAGAGGAAAGAACCACCAGCAGCAGCCACATAGTCATCTTCAAGGCCTGTCTCACTCCTGTTTCACATGTACTGGTTGGTGATGGTGAAGAAGTGTGTGGGATCAGGGAAATGTGAAAATATCTCTCCACTTTGCTCTGCCAGCCCCCAGTGGTCGGCTCTGTGACTTCTTAAATGTCTTTGTAACTGACAAGCAAGGGTAGATTTAATCTCCATAACTGTATTCAAGTTTTTTTTTAATTATTATTTGAAGAAATTAATTTTCACAATATTCTAGGATGTAGGGTTGAGCAGTTGTTGGGTAAAGTAATATTACTTCTGTACTTTGAGACTACCACTTGCTGATCCCTTCTAAGTTTTTTTTCTGTAACTGTATTGGAGGAGATGCTGTGGAAATCCTTTTTCATTTTCTCAATGCAGTTTGGGATTTTAGTCTTCCGATTTGTCTGACTGGGTGAAATTGCAACTGTATGTTGTATATTGTGAAGGCTAAGTATATCATCTTATCAAGGAATAGCTTGGTTATTTTAATGATGTTTATTTCAGAACACTTCGTAGAGGCAATGCCAACGGCTACTTCTGTATTCCTGGAAAGATTTTCAAGCAGTAATTTGGGATTTGTCCTCTGCTTTAAAGAGCTATGAGGCATAACAAAGTTAGTTTATTGGATGTTTGGTTGGTTTGGGGATTTTTCTTGAATTTTAGTCAGTGCTAGAGTGTATTCTGGATATTCTTTTCCCATTTTAATGCTACAATTTCAACTTGAATTGGCATCCTATACAAAATTAATCATAGGGTTGAGATAACAGTAAGATGAACATACCAGTTTATGAAGACTTTTCTGGTTGGGTGTTTTGTATCACATCATGGAAATAGTGAGGTGCTTTCATGCTGTAGTTATCATGAAATTACCTCCTGCCAGTGTGCAGAAACTTAATATTTGCACACTGGGGTTTCTTCTCTTCTAGGTATAAGATGGGTCTGGTAATTGAAAATGCTACCTGCGTTTTCTCCCATCAAAATTTAGATCAAAGTTTTTAATGATCTATTTCAAATTTATTAAAAATACTT